TAAAACAGAAGGATCATCCTGTCTTTCTATCTCATGGGATTGAGGTACACATTCAGGGGCTTTGGACCTAAGGGTTGCCAAATTAGTCTTAGTAGAGGAGGTAGATTTAGTGACAGCTATGGACACAGAAAGCCACAACCAGTTCATGCAGATGTCTTCACTGTCTTCCTCCTCCTCCATGACTGTTGGAGAAGACTAAGATCATGTTAATGGTCTTTGCCTTGAGAACGTTGGTTGAGTAGAGGATGGATCAGTTTGTTGGAGCATTCGGACAACCTCTCCCAGAGGTAGAAGATGATTATGGTGCCATACTTTTATTGGACCTATTTTCTCCACTGGGTGTATCTGGTACACCAGCAAATCCAATAGTTACTTGCAGACTACGCAGGGTTGGGATTTCCACCAGTCAGCTCATTTGTGCTTTTCAGGGATACCCACATTTTTTGGAAGCACCTGATCACTCGACTGTAAGTCTTGGACTCTTACTCTCAAGTCAAAGCTCCTGCTGTCCATAAGCTGACTTTACATTCTTTCTGAGATGATCCATATACCATCCATAGGATGTAACAGATCTCTGGTCCAGAGAAGTCCAAAAGCTACATTCACATATAGTCTGGCTTCTCTCACAAAAAACATTTATGAAGAATACCTGTGGCATCATTCACTGTGCTGTTATATGCATGCACAACTGTGAAGATGTGTCCGCTTCAGCACTGTTTTTTCTCTGTTGTAAGAGTACCAAACATGTTGAGAAGGGTGTGGTTGAACCTCTGAAGATGTAGATCCCCTTGTGGATGATAGGGGGTTGTTCTGGACTTCTGAACACCCAACAGATCTAGCAGTTGCCTGATGAGCCGGCTCTCTAAGTCTCTTCCATGCTCAGAGTGGATTCAATGGAGCAACAAAGAACTTCTCCATCAAGACCTTGGCCACTGTAAATGCCTGTTGGTCTTTTGTTGGGAAAATCTGGGCATAATGGGTGAAATGGTCTGTCACCACTAGGACATTTCCCTGTCCATGTGAGTGATTTCCTCTCACTTTCCATTTTGCCTATGGGACTGGAAGTCAAGGGAAGTCTCCCCAATAGGGGAAAAAAAAATCTATCCAAAATGAAAAAAAAAGTTTTGCATTTAGTTTTATTTTAACATTGCCACGCACAGGAAAAATCAGCTTTGTAGTTTTCAGAAAATAATCAAGTAAAATGCAAGCAGCAATTTTTAGGCTATGATATGTGAGTGAGGACATGCAACAAATACAGTCAGGTCCATAAATATTGGGACTTTGACACAATTCTAACATTTTTAGCTCTATATACCACCACAATGGATTTGAAATGAAACGAACAAGATGTGCTTTAACTGCAGACTGTCAGCTTTAATTTGAGGGTATTTACATCCAAATCAGTTGAATGGTGTAGGAATTACAACAGATTGCATATGTGCCTCCCACTTGTTAAGGGACCAAAAGTAATGGGACAATTGGGCTTCTCAGCTGTTCCAATGGCCATAAAAGGTCAGTTCATTTCAAGTGTGCTATTTGCATTTGGAATCTGTTGCTGTCAACTCTCAAGATGCGATCCAAAGAGCTGTCACTATCAGTGAAGCAAGCCATCATTAGGCTGAAAAAACAAAACAAACCCATCAGAGAGATAACAAAAACATTAGGCGTGGCCAAAACAACTGTTTGGAACATTCTTAACAAGAAGGAACGCCCCGGTGAGCTCAGCAACACCAAAAGACCCGGAAGACCACGGAAAACAACTGTGGTGGATGACCGAAGAATTCTTTCCCTGGTGAAGAAAACACCCTTCACAACAGTTGGCCAGATCAAGAGCACTCTCCAGGAGGTAGGTGTATGTGTGTCAAAGTCAACAATCAAGAGAAGACTTCACCAGAGTGAATACAGAGGGTTCACCACAAGATGTAAACCATTGGTGAGCCTCAAAAACAGGAAGGCCATATTAGAGTTTGCCAAACGAAAAGCCTTCACAGTTCTGGAACAACATCCTATGGACAGATGAGACCAAGATCAACTTGTACCAGAGTGATGGGAAGAGAAAGAGTATGGAGAAGGAAAGGAACTGCTCATGATCCTAAGCATACCACCTCATCAGTGAAGCATGGTGGTGGTAGTGTCATGGCGTGGGCATGTATGGCTGCCAATGGAACTGCTTCTCTTGTATTTATTGATGATGTGACTGCTGACAAAAGCAGCAGGATGAATTCTGAAGTGTTTCGGGCAATATTATCTGACCATATTCAGCCAAATGCTTCAGAACTCATTGGACGCCACTTCACAGTGCAGATGGACAATGACCCAAAGCATACTGCAAAAGCAACCAAAGAGTTTTTAAGGGAAAGAAGTGGAATGTTATGCAATGGCCAAGTCAATCACCTGACCTGAATCCAATTGAGCATGCATTTCACTTGCTGAAGACAAAACTGAAGGGAAAATGCCCCAAGAACAAGCAGGAACTGAAGACTGTTGCAGTAGAGGCCTGGCAGAGCATCACCAGGGATGAAACCCAGCGTCTGGTGATGTCTATGTGTTCCAGCCTTCAGGCTGTAATTGACTGCAAAGGATTTGCAACTAAGTATTAAAAAGTGAAAGTTTGATTTATGATTATTATTCTGTCCCATTACTTTTGGTCCCTTAACAAGTGGGAGGAACATATGCAAACTGTTGTAATTCCTACACCGTTCACCTGTTTTGGATGTAAATACCCTCAAATTAAAGCTGACAGTCTGCAGTTAAAGCACATCTTGTTTGTTTTATTTCAAATCCATTGTGGTGGTGTATAGAGCCAAAAATGTTAGAATTGAGTCGATGTCCCAATATTTATGGACCTGAGTGTATAAAGTAAGTGTTATCCCAATTTGACCGTGTCACGATCGCGGCGTCAGACCCTAGACCTCCTCACCAAAACTCGTGACCGAAGGGCTAGCAGACCTAAAACCGCGATGTGACGTGCGTAACAATGCCACACCCAGCTGCACCCTGCACAACGATTTTCCAGCGAATGGATACCGATCAATGTGCCAGCAGCCTGAATCGATTGTTACTAGGTCAGGTTAATTAGGCAATTAACCCCTTCACACTGCCACCACCTCCTTTTTTTATCAGAGAAAGAGGAAACTCGGCATTCCGCTATAACACTATAATGGTTGATATAATTGACTGCATAACCCGGTCATAATACAGGCCTGTTATACAGAGGGTTAACACAAACAGTAGCGTCTCTTTAAAGGCAGGGATTCGTAAATTGCAATTAAGAGCTATAGAAACAGTTCAACACTTTCAGAAAGAAAGATTTATTACTAAAAGGGTCAAACAGGTGCAATAACAATATTTACAGAGAAGATGTAACTAATATATATATATATATATATATATATATATATATATATATATATATACATGTATAGAAAACAACACAGCACAGTAAAGAGATAACAGGGAGAAGTTAAAGGGTTAAGTTACTTGCCATTAAGCCTTGGGTTAGCAGATCCAAGTTTTAGAGCAGATGGGTGCTTTGATCTCCCTGTGTTATGATGGAAAAATGGGAGAATGCTTCAACTCTCTACTCTTAGGCTTGACAGCCTGCTTTAAAGTGTCCCAGCAGGGGATGGTTCTGAAGTAAAAGACCAATCCCCTGTTTAGGGAGGGATCGTCAGGCGGAACCCTAAACTGGAGCCAACATCTTTCATAATTCATATTCTGGTCCATAACTTCCCATCTGCACAAGCGACAGTCCACCCGCAGGTATATTATTATGCAGACAAGCCTGAGGATTATATGTATTATGAAATTGTATGCTACACGGTTAGCGAGATCTATTTCTCTGCCTTCCCGTGCGCCCGAGGTAAGGCGAGCGACCTATCAAACTGTTCGCCTGCTCATCGTCCATCCGATGAGATGTCTGTCTTTTATGTAGGTCTCTCATATTTCAAGATATGAGACATAGGGGAAAAATTGATTTCTTAAAAATGGTATCTGGTGTGGGCTTCTTGGGAATGCCTTGAACTCCTGGGAAGGCTCTGTTATCTTTTCACGAGGCGTATAATTACACAGGTACTTTGGCCAGTGGGTCTCCAGCTCTCTTTGGAAAGCTGGTCCTATCTCTTCCTAGGTGAGTAAGGATACAGCTTTCACAGACAGCTCAGCACCTAGCGAGAGATCCCTTGGCCGGCCAGTGACCCATACCCAGTACACACACACATCTGTCACTGTGCCTCTCAGGAAGGGAGGGGGAAGGAGAATGAGGGAATAACACGGCTACTCTTAACAAAATGGCAGACTGCATCAGTCTCTGGGGCGCGCGTTTGCGACAGACTTCAATAGTGGAAATACACTGTAATGTCCCTGAAGAATTTAAGGGTGAAGGACCACCATTTTACTCTTTGTGAAATCATTCCTAGGAGGCCTAAGGGAACTACACAGATAATAAAAGGTTATAAAAGAGTTAATGAGAATGAAAGGTTTAGAAGAAGAATTGACAATTTATTTATGTAAACTAACTAGAGCTGTGAAGTTTTGTTTTCCACAGGTCACAAATATCATTTCAATTGCAGACATGGAGACAATTAAGGATCCTGGAGAATGATGCTTCCTGGAGAAAAAAATTATTTAAACAGCAGTGGCTTTTCTGATGCACCAAAGCACGATGCAACAGCCAAAGATATATTTAAGGAATAGAAGTGCTGGTCTCCATTGGAATGCTAATCTGGGATTTCAATCTACACCAAGTATACATAATCATTTTATTATTATACAGGATTTATATAGTGCCAACAGCTGATAATACACTATACTGCCAAAAGTATTGGGACACCCCTCCAAATCATTCGATTCAGGTGTTTCAATCACCTCCATGGCCACAGGTGTATAAAATCAAGCACCTAGGCATGCAGACTGCTTCTACAAACATATGTGAAAGAATGGGTTACTTTCAGGAGCTCAGTGAATTAAAGCGCGGTACCGTGATAGGTTGCCAACTGTGCAATAAGTGCATCCGTGAAATGTTCTTGCTACTAAATATTCCAAGGTCAACTGTTAGTGGTATTATAACAAAGTGGAAGCAACTGGGAACATCAGCAACTCAGCCATAAAGTGGTATGCCACGTAAAATGACAGAGTGGGGTCAGTGCATGCTGAAGCGCACAGTGCGCAGACGTCACCAACTGTCTGCAGAGTCAATAGCTAAAGACTTCCAAACTTTGTGTGGCCTTCAGATTAGCACAACAGTATGTACAGAACTTCATGGAATGTGTTTCTATGGTCGAGCTGCTGCATCCAAGTCTTACATCACCAAGTGTAATTCAAAGCGTTGGATGTAGTGGTATAAAGCATGCCGCCACTGGACTCTAGGGCAGTGGAGACGTGTCCTCTGGAGTGACCAATCACGTTTCTCTGTCTGGCAATCTAATTGATGTGTCTGGGTTTGGTGGTTGCCAGGAGAACAGTACTTGCCTGACTGCATTGTGCCAAGTGTAAAGTTTGGTGGAGGGGGGATTATGGTGTGGGGTTGTTTTTCAGGGGTCGGGTTTGGCCCCTTAGTTCCAGTGAAGGGAACTCTTAAGGCATCAGCATACCAAGACATTTTGGACAATTTCATGCCCCCAACTTTGTGGGAACAGTCTGGGGATGGCCCTTTCCTGTTCCAACATGACTGCGCACCAGTACACAAAGCAAGGTCCATAAAGACATAGATGAGTGAGCTTGGGGTGAAGGAACTTGACTGGCCTGCACAGAGTTATGACCTCAACCTGATAGAACACCTTTGGGATGAATTAAAATGGAGACTGTCAGTCAGGCCTTCTCTTCTGACATCAGTGCCTGACCTCACAAATGCGCTTTTGGAAGAATGGTCAAACATTCCCATAGACACACTCCTAAATCTTGTGGACAGCCTTCCCAGAAGAGTTGAAGTTGTTATAGCTGCAAAAGGGTGGGCCAACTAAATATTGAACCCTACAGACTAAGATTGGGATGCCATTAAAGTTCATGTGTGTGTAAAGGCACGCTTCCCAATACTTTTGGCATATAGTGTGTGTGGCATAGACATATGACAGATGTACTGTATTTAAATTATTAGTAATGAATCATGTTAAGTGTGTATTCTAATTCCTCATGCCACAGGCACAGAACCATTGATGTGTATGAGGGATATTAACTGCAAAGATGTAAATTGTATAAAATGTATAATTTTTCAAAAGATTAAAGGGGAGATTTACTGGATGGGAAAAGGTATACATTCGGTGTAAGTTAGAGAAAGAGGTCTATGAGGTGGGTTTGAGGACTTTTTTTTACAGGAGGGAAGCTGGAAACAGCCTATTTCTATATTACCATGTGGAGATCAGTCTCTATGGAATAATAGGAGAAGAGAGAAATGTCATAGGCTGATAGGACAGTAACTGGCATCGTTGTGCATCCAAATTAATGAATGTAACAAAATTAAGATCCATTTGTTATCTGAATCCAAATGATTGATCTAATTCAACCCACCATAGATGTCTTTTCATTGTATACATTCATACCCCATGAAATCAGGATTGAGGCTTTAAATGACTACAATATTCACATACCACAACTACTTCTCATTTTTAAATCAACATTTTCGACAGATTAGGGCCAAAGCTAAGGATGCTAATTTTGCACAAAGCTATCCACATTTAATGATGGGATACTGGGAGCAACACATATATTCTCAGAAATAAAGTATGGGGGGTGGGTACAGAATCAGTCCCCCTTTTTTGTGGAGTTCTGTAACCAGAGTAATTTTGTATGTGACCCACATAGTATGATGTTTTTGTAACTAGAGCTTTTTCATAATGCCACAAGAAGTTTAGTGGCAAAAGGGGAAGCTGAACAGCTGAGCAGGAGCCATAGGGAGCAGAGACAGAAAAAGTTATTGGTGTTACTGTAGCTGGATGGGGGAAGCCGTGAGCAGGAGGATCAACTGGCTGCCAGGTGTGTGGTATGAAAACAAGATGCTGGAGCAGCCAGATGTGTGTGAGTAGGTATAGGGCTGCAGTGTCTAGGGAACTGTTGTCATAGACTCCTGGACTGTGAGTACAGAGAACATTGTGAGTACTGAGGGGTACTGAGGACACCGTGAGTACTGAAAACACTGTGAGTACTGAGAACTACCCAGGATACTGTGAGTACTGGGAGCACTGTGAGTACTGAAGAGCACTGAGGACATTGTGAGTACCGAGAGCACTGTGCTTACTGAGGAGTACTGACAGCACTGATTTTTGTTGAGTATTGAGGGCACAGTGATTACTGAGAAACACTGAGTGCTGAAGGGCCACTGTGAGTACTGGGGACCACTGTGAGCACCGTGAGTACTGAGGAGGCACTGTGACTACAGAAGGGACACTCTGTGTACGAAGGTAGAAATGTGAGTATTGAAGGGGTTCTGTGAGTACTGAAAGGACTATGGTAAGTTTTGAGTAGGCACTGTGAAACCTAAAGGGGGCTGTGAGAGCCAAGAGCAGAGGGTACCGTGAGTACTGAGGGTACTGTAAATATTGAGGAGGCACTGCGAGTAACGTAAATAATGAAGGCACTGTGAGTACTGAGGGTGAACTGTGGGTACAGAAGGGGGACAGTGCATACAGAGGGGGTGCTGTTAGTACTGAGGGGGTCACGGGGAGTACCTGGGGGGTAATCTGAGTAGACCGAGCGGCACTGTGTGTGAACGAGGGGCCTTTAGAGCACCAAGGGGTTGCTGTCATTAAAAATACATTAATAAAATCACAAAACTTTTTTTATTATCCCCATTATGTTATTGGGTAACATGTGGTGATGTGACCTGATGCACATCCCGTTCAAGGGCAAATTTGCTGTGCAAGATGCGGGCAAATTGTTTATTTGGAAGCCCAGATTCTAAATCTAAAGAATCAGATGGTAACACTCAGCAAACATCAGCAACTTGGAAAGGAGTGTGGATTCCAAACTCCTGGTCAGGTAATGGCTGGGGCAATATAGATGAGGGTGGTGATATGGAAGTGAATGCATCAGAGGTGAGTAGCTGGGTTACAGCCAAAAGATGGGGTAGTGGGAAAAGTTTTAGAGAAGCTAGTCCTGAGTTGAATCATCCAAGTAAATATTCCCGGTTGCATGATGCTGGGGATATCAGCTCAAGGGTGACATTGCCCCCTAGCTGCCAGGGGAACAACTATTCAGGTAAGGATGGGGGCAGGGATACAAACAAAGATAGATAGATACTGGTGGTGTGGGACTCAATTATTATAAGAACAGTACAGGCAATGTCACATAGTTAATGATCATATTGTGTTGTCTGCTGGGTGCTTGGGTGTGTGGCACATTTGCAGATCAGATGAACAGATTGTTGGATGGGACTTGGGGGGCAGCTGTCATGGTATATTGGTAGAAGTTACAAAGTTAGAGAAAGAAGGAGCGTCCTTAAAAAAGATTTCAGGGAGTTAGGAGCTTATATTACCCATTTCCCTAACGCCCTATAGCCAAAAGACTAAGCAAGGGAGAATGTCACCAGCATACTGAGGATCACTAATATGGGTCCAAAAGTTTTAATGAATGATCACATAGTTACAGCAAGGCAACGTTTCAGAGTCTCACAGAACTCCTTCTTCAGGCATGTGACGTCACATGCTTGATGAAGGGGTCCTGAGAAACTCCAAAATGTTGCCTTGCTGTAACTATGTGATCATTCATTAAAACTTTTGGACCCATATTGGTGATCCTCGTTGTGCTGGTGACATTCTCCCTTGCTGATTCTGTTTGGTTCCAGCCAACAGTCGCTGCAGCACCCACTTATACACACAACCATTTTTTAACGCAGGAATGTGTGCGTTTGGATTGTGTAATTGCATAGACAAAAGACTGTCTCAGTGTGCTAGTGCACAAAAACATCTGTCACAGTGTACCAGTATCCCATCAACATCTGTCACTGTGTACCAGTGCACAAAACAACTGTCACAGTGTACCAGTACACATCAACATCTTCAATAGTGTCCTGTTGCACAAAACATCTGTCACAATGTACCAGAGCACATCAACATCTGCAATAGTGTCCCATTGCATAATCAACATCTGTCAGTGTCCCACTGCAACATCAATATCTGTTGGCATCCCTGGTGGACCATCAACATCTGTCGGTGTCCCAAGTGGACCATCAACATCTGTCAGTTTCTTCAGTGGACCATCATAATCTGTCACAATGTACCAGTGTCCATCAACATCTCTCAAGTATCAAATTGCAACATCAACTGCTGTTGGTGTCCCTTGTGGACCATCAACATCTGTCAGTGTCCTCAGTAGGACATTAACGTTTGTCACAGTGTACTAAAGTGCAAAAACATCTGTCAGTATATCAGTGTCCCATCAACATCTGTCACAGTATACCAGTGCACAAAACATCTGTCACAGTGTACCAGTGCCTCATCAACATCTTTCACAATGTACCAGTGCACATCAACATCTATCACAGTGTACCAGTGTCCGTCAACATCTGTCACAATGTACCAGTGCATGAAACATCTGTGACAGTGTTTAGTAGTGCCCTATTGCAAAACCAACATCTGTCATTGTCCCATTGCAGCATTAACATCTGTCTGTGTCCTTAGTGGACCATCAACATCTGTCACAATGTACCAGTGTCCACCAACATCTGTCACTGTCCAATTACAATGTCAACATCTGCCTGTGTCCCTAGTGGACTGTCAACATCTGTCAGTGTCCCTAGTGGACCAGTAACATCTGTCAGTGGTCCTAGTGAACCTTAAACATCTGTAAGTGTCCCTAGTAGACCATCAACATCTTTCAGGGTCCTAGTGAACCTTCAGCATCTATTGGTGTCCCTAGTAAACTAACATCTCTCAGAGTCCCAGTTGACCATCAACATCTGTGTTCCTTGTGGACTGTCAACATCTATCGGTGTCCTCAGTTGACTGATTTGGGTTATTTTTACCAAAGATATGTAACAGATTAAATTTTGGCCTAAATTTATGAAGAATGATTATTTAATTGCAAAATTTTATTTCAGAAACTAACAAAAATACGTTTCTTCTTCATAAATTTTGGTCTTTTTTCATTTATATTGCAAAAAAGCAAAAATCCCAGTGGTGATTAATCACTTCAATACTAACCATTTTCACGCCCTTCCTGCCCCAGACAATTTTTAGCTTTTAGTACTTTGAATGGCAATTGCGAGGTCATGCAACACTGTACCCAAATTAAATGTTTTAAAGTTTTTGGTGGTATTTAATCCCCACTGGCTTTTTCTATTATTTTATAAACAAATGAAAAAAGACCGAAAATGTAAAAAAATTAAATTTTTCTTCTTGATGTGCACTGATGAGGATGCACTGATGGGAACTGAT